CCCAAAAAGTACTCGTATTCAAAAAAACTGTTTCTGCATGTGTGTCCAAATCTATAATAAACTTCCTCAAGATATTAAAGAACTGTCCTTTAATCAGTTTAAGACCACATTGCAAAAGTGGCTTGTCGCGCGATTATTCTACTCTCTCCAAGAATAATTATATGTAATATCAATATTTCTTCGATATATTTGCATGCTATTGTTGATGGCTGGATAGGTGATCATATTTTGTTATTTTCGACCTTCTGTACACCCTATTCAAAGACAAATAAATATTTCTATTTCTATTTCTATTTCTGGGAGTTCAATATTATTGTAACATGTGCAATAGAAATAAGGAATTTGAATTAGTAAGCAGATTAACTACTTTGCCTGAAGCATTAACCGTTCTAGATTGTTAAGCGTTATATTTTTATCGATATTATAACCCAAATACACTATAGATCTACAACGCCACACATACAACACTCGCTACGTAGCATAAGGAGTCTGCAGTTATCACTTTGAGCTATGACTCAGACTGTTTATTGATAATACTTCAGTCTGCGCGCGCGCAGCGACGCTTGCCGTTTGGCAGTAAATTTAATTGCTCAAGTGTTTTGAAGCTTTCAGTAAGCAATGAGTAATAAGATAACTAGTTGTTTATGATACATAGCGTACTGTTTAGACTCATATAGCAGACATGCTACTTTTTGCATAGAAGATCGGCGATTTAGCCGCTTTTTAAATGGCGAATGCTGCCACCACACATTCCGCTTACGCCCGTATTCACAAACATTACTATGAGGTCTTATAGTGCGCGTGGACGCACAGTGTCACACACGAACCAATCACAGAGCTCTATTCAACGCTGTGCGTTCGTTCATCAATTGTAAATGAATACGGGCGTTAAAACGCCAAACGTAGCGATTAAGTCGCTTTTCGGAAGCTCGACGCTTTAGACCGAAGGAAGTGAACTTCGCCTTAAAGAATGACTCTACAAAATCTGAGGCAAATGGAGGATTTGTCTACGCTTGGGCAAGCCTAATGTTGCTATTAATTGTCTTTTTTTTTATGTGACAGGAGGCAAACGAGCAGACTGATCACCTGATGGTAAGTGATTACCGTCGCCCATAGACACCCGCAGACCCAGGGGCGTTACAGGTGCGTTGCCGGCCTTTAAGGTGAAGATACGCTCTCTTCTTGAAAGCTTGCAGGTCGTATCTGTCCGGAAACACCGCAGACGACAGTCCATTCCACAGTTTGGTTGTACGGGGCAGGAAGTTTCTGGAGAAACGTACTGTTGTGGACTGCCAACCATCTAAGTGATAGGGATGGAAGTGCTGTCGGGTAGATCGGTGCGAAAAGTGGCGGCAGGATAAGTCCAGACAATTCTTCGGAGCACTCCCCGTGATAAATGCGATAGAAGATGCACAGTCTATGTCTATTCATATTCATTGTAGAGCTATATTTTTAATATCTTTGAAATCAACAAATAGCTCGTCCCTTGATGAGCAAATGTGATGTCATAGATTTTTAGTACCCGATTGATCGATACGTTTACTGTTAGTAAGTATCAGTAATTATTTCCTGAGAACGTGGTGTTTTTGAATCACGACTAGTTTAATAGTTTTCGTTCCTGAAAACGGAACAGTCTTCAAAGAATGTTCGTGCAAATGTTATTTTCATTCGAACTGGATGAGTAATAGTATTTTTTTCAGTTTAATTTGGACTAACTTGCCTGAAAAGAAACATATGTCTTCATAGGTCGGTACTCTATCTAGAGCCATGTCAGACACATAATATAATAATGTTGACATCGGAGTTTTAAACTTTTGATGTTTGACACTGGAATCACAATTCGATAAAAGTAGAGTTTTTATATCGTAAAGGTACAGTGTTTTCGTACTTATTGAGGCGACTTACTTAGTAAGTAATCTTTTTAAGAAACAAAATCTACGTCACCAGATTCACAGATATAAAATCCATGTGAATGGATATCAAACTCATGAAAATACATTAAAAAGCTTTCAATACAAAGCTTTAAGCATCCAGTTTCAACCTCAAGTACTCGATACAAAGTTAATTCTAATGGAACGTGTTTGTTATACTGAAACTATACTGTTGTTACTGTGTGTATACTGAAACTTTACTCAAGTAGGGCAGAGCTTTTAACTCGACAGAAAATCACTCGATTGTTTGAACTAATATCGAGTGAGCATCGAGTGTTGGCGCTTCATTCGAGAACTCATCGATATAGAGCGTCTTTATAGTGTTTAAGAGAGACTTGAAGTGATGACTTGAATTCTAGCGGTAGAAGATATCTTCAAGTAGTTAATAGCGAGCAGTTTTCAAGGCAAATATTATGAATAGGCTTCTAGCCGAGTAAAATTGAGTGGAAGTGGTCCTACCACTCCTAACCTTTTCATATAGTACAAGGTGACTAAGGGACAAAATATTCTAATACCAAATAAGATAAATGATAATATACTAAAGAGTACCCCAACCCGTCTATCTGGTCATAAGGAGTTAACCGGCTCTGTGGTCTAGTGGTACGACCACCTGCTTCAGACGCAGAGGTCCCGGGTTCGATTCCCAGTAAGGGCAGATTTTTCTGTTCGGTTTGCTTGTTCTAACTCCGCCTGGCTAGCTACCACCATCTTACCTAAGTCTGTCGCCATAACAACAATGTTAACGGCATTGTTGTGTTCCGGCAGTTAGAGGTAAGATAGCCAGTTCCTCCGTGGTTGAGGATTCCGGGTGAAGATCGCTTCCACTTTTGGCCTGATCGTCACTTACTATCAGGTGAGATACAAGCCAAGAGCTTCCTCGTTGTGGATAAAAAAAAAGGAGTGTAGGTCAAATCTTCCATATTGCCTTTAGTAAATTAAATTAATTAGAGAGAGACGTGCTAATTCACTATACATATAAAGATCAAATTTATGAATTTACTAGCCAGGTATTTAGCAGTCTAGTTTATATGTAATCATGTGTAGCTAACATTTAACTGCGAGAACATCGTCAAATATTTGTGCATGGCAATCGATTTGGCTTAGTGCTTAGTAATTCGATACACTAGAGGTCGCGAGTTCAATCCGCACACAACTCTTACATATTCTCTTTATTGGTCTGGAAGTTTTCTAGTATTCAATCGTGTCTATTTATAAAAAAAAGTATTACCTAAGACACTAAGTTACTTAAATTAATTTGAGTGTAGGTAGTTAGAAAATTCTCTCATCCTTTCAGAGATGAGTTTTTATCGTGACGCATCTGTTCACAACAGAAGACCTATTTGGGGCATGTCGATGGCAACTGTCAGTCGCAACTGCTCCAACTGAAGCGAGATCCATTGTAAAAAGATATTTTTTAGATTATCCCGACATTGTGATTGACAAAATGATATCGATAACTTCTGTTGCAAGTATGAACTGAGTTCAATTTCGGGAAACTACTTTTGGTTTCGGGAAAAACTTTCATAACCAAAGGATGGTCGAAGTTAACTAAAAATTTATTTTGTTGATCCTTATTTATTGACTAAGAATTAATAAAGGTGATTTCTACTACTCATTGGTAGTATCTCTACCCTAGTTAAACCATTTTAACTTGAGTTTCAGGTTTATAATGTCGTAAAATCTCTAGAGCGCAAATTTTACTTTCAGGAACGTCATAGTGAAAAGTCAGGTCACGTTTCAATAATAGAGGTTTAAAATAAAAAAAAATCGATCAATTGACAGCATATTACCAGACTACGTAATTTTTCTGGAAAAATCGCCCCTATGACCACTACTCATAAGATGCTAGTTTGATGTACCGTTTTCTGTAACAACGCTAAGAAATGCCAAAACTATAACTTTCCAAGATAGAAATATTAAACTTTTCTATTGTTCTATCAAGTCTCACGCGCCGGCGCTTGCGTTTCTCACGCCGATTTCGTCTGACAGCTTTTGATTGTTAATTAAATAATTTATGTTGAAGATAGCATGTGAAAAATGTGAAATGGAGAGTAAGAAACACTCTGTGATAAACATATCGTAGAGCAAAACAAAGTGTAATTTTTTAGGATAAACATTAATTTCTTTTTAAAAATCCTGAATGTCTCTTTATGCCACCAAGGAAATATGAAAATAGCTGGCATACACTATAGCTATCATTATGAAAAACATGTAGGAAAAATACTACTCTTTTTCAATTAATACAAATTGACAATAGTAGTTATTTAATTTTTAGCGTTAAGAGTCGCATCTCAAACTAATTTGAAAATTATAAATAACTTGAAAAAATCGAACTTCCCGCCTTAGGCAGTTCGATTTTTTCAAGTTATTTATAATTTTCAAATTGACAATAGTACTCGTAATAAACAGTTACTTAGGCCGAGTTGCACCATCTTACTTTAACTTTGACAAACGTCAAAAATCTGTCAAACTCTATACAAAAAGCACCGGTTATTGTCAATGTTACGGTTATAATAAGATGGTGCAACTCAGCCTTACTCTGTAGGTAATTTTCATTTTTTCTTTGTGAGTCTTAAGAAACAAGACACTGATTAAGATGGAATCTTACAAGAGATGAGATGACTCTGCAAATTCTTAAGAAACATTTCTAAGAACCTGNGCCCGCGGCGCGCCGTGCCGCGCGCTCCTGGCCGGCAATGAAAAAAGAAGATTTTATGTTGTCACTTTGACACTTCACTGCGATTTGCTCTTTTGATTTTATTCGGATTGTTAATTTTATTTCTTTTATGTTTTTGTAAATAGTCAATTGTAAATATATTTGTTTATTCAAAGCCTCTTATGATTTTACTAAATTCTGCTTCTGCTAAAGTAATGTGAGGAGGCGTTCGATTCGTCTCCCACATATTGGTGACCCCGTATACAAGAAGACGCAAGATAAACGTTTCAATCTGCTGACAACGTGGAAGACTTACCTGCTTACTTCTCGTCGTCACGATCTACTACGTTGCTACATAAGGCTGGGGCTTGCTGCAAGCGGTGAATATTTTTTATAATTTTTTATTTTACAAAATGAACGACTCTAAGGAAGAAGTTTTCAAAGTCGGAATTCGAATACCGCCCTTCTGGCCCGAAGAGCCTGCGTTATGGTTTGCGCAACTAGAAGCACAGTTCGCCGTGTCTGGTATTAGCAGCGATCAAACGAAATTTTATTACCTCGTTTCTCAACTTGATCGTCAGTTTGCAATTGAAGTACGAGACATCATAACTGACCCCCCGGCTGAGAATAAGTATGGTAAACTTAAACAGGAACTTATTAAACGCCTCTCACCGACACCGGAGAAACGCTATAAGCAGCTGTTGACGCACGAGGAGCTCGGTGATCGGACGCCCTCGCAGTTCTTGCGTCACCTGCGGAGCTTGGCTGGCCCTACGGTCCCCATGGATTTCCTCATTACCTTGTGGTCTAGCAGATTACCTCTAAATATCCAGACAGCTATAGCGTCGCAAATAGATCTTCCTGCGGACAAACTCGGTGAGTTGGCCGATAGAGTCTTCGAGATTGCACCTGTAACTCCTCAGCTGGCTNGCGGACAAACTCGGTGAGTTGGCCGATAGAATCTTCGAGATTGCACGTGTAACTCCTCAGCTGGCTAGCGCCTCAGCGGCTACGGCTTCAAGTTCTTCGCCGTCCGGTGACACGTGGCAGCAAATTAACATCCTGGCTGAGCAAGTTGCTTCCTTGGCGAGCAGAATCAATGCAAAGGAAAGGTGTCCGTCTGAACCTTGTATCAAATGCTGTGATCGATCTCGTGCTAGATCAACAAAACCTCGTCAACCTCCTGCTGATCACCCGCATTGCTTTTATCACTTCAATTNTTTAAGGATCTTTCTAATTTCAGGAATTCACTGCGTTCGGGTTCTGGACAATTATCAATAATTTCTTGGACATAGGGCATGGAGTCATCCATGTCTATTGAGGTAGGTACAATGATCAACTTTTGGGTTCCCTTTAAGAGGGTTTCATTATGTTCGGTGATTTGGGTATCGTGTGACTTCGCAGGTGACTTCAGGAATTTACTATAGGTTTCGTCGGACACAGGTAAGGTTTCAGCTGATGGAGAAGGAGCATCGTGGCAAGAGGAACTGGGAGAAGGTAGGTTTCCAGGTGTTGGAGGATCTTCTAGATCGGGTAAGTTTGGAACTGGTAAATTCGATTGCGTTTCAGGAATAGGACTGGAGGGTTGCGCTGGATTTTGTAAGTGATTTTTATTTTCAGGGCTTGGAGCAGAAGGCTGCATCGCAGGTAAGTCGTTGATAGGGCTATATTGGAGGTCGATTTCACTGTCTCCTTCCAAGAGGTCGATACAGGGCATGCTGTCGCCTTCTTCGGAAAGAGCGGGGAGTTGAACACTTAGGTCTTCGAGGGTTAATGGGCTGAAAGGGAGTTCATCGTCTGCAGCAGGAGGATTTACTGGATTTTGTCCTGGCGACGGATTAGGAGAGTCAGGGTTGTTCGTTTGGTCCACAGGATTAGTAGGAATTACAGGATTTACAGGATATCTGGAGAGCGCGTCAGCGGCGGAGTTTAATTTGCCTTTACGGTAAGTTATCTCATAGTCATACTCTTCCAGTTTTAATCTCCATCTTTGGAGTTTGCTGCTAGGATCTTTGTGGTTGAATAGCCATTTTAGGGGTCGATGGTCGGTGATGATGAGGAATTTGCGTCCATAGAGGTAGGGACGAAACGTTTTGCAACCGTATATTATGGATAGCAACTCCTTTTCAGTAGTGCTGTAATTACATTCGCTTTTGTTGAGGGTTCGTGATGCAAAAGCGACTGGTTGGTCTTTGCCAACAGGACCCTGGGATAGGACGGCACCAACAGCGTGGTTGGACGCGTCGCAGGTAAGTATGAATGGCTTTGAAAAATCTGGATATACAAGTGCTGTGATCGATCTCGTGCTAGATCAACAAAACCTCGTCAACCTCCTGCTGATCACCCGCATTGCTTTTATCACTTCAATTACGGCGTCAAGGCAAACAAGTGCAAGCAGCCCTGCAGTTTCAAGGCGGAAAACTGTCAGGGCGGTCGCAAGTAGCGGCCAACGACTGCCCTTCTGCTACAGGCCGTCTATTTGTTACTGATCATGCTTCGAAAATGCAGTTTCTAGTGGACACTGGTTCTGACTTGTGTGTTTTCCCACGATCATTTGTCAAGACACCCTGCACCAAGACGACGTTTGACCTCGCTGCAGCTAATAATTCGGTGATCCATACTTATGGTCCAATCAGACTACAGCTAAACTTAGGGCTTCGACGCGATTTTGTATGGAATTTTATTGTGGCCGAAGTTTCCAAGCCTATTATTGGAGTCGACTTCCTTAGCTACTACAACTTACTTGTCGATTGCCGAAATAAGCGATTAGTCGACGGAGTTACATCGCTCTCGGTAGCTGCTTTTTCGTCTGGAAATGATGACGTCGCTTCTGTAAAAGTGCCTTCAGGTAGTAATTCCGAGTCAGAATATCATCTGATTTTATCTGAATATCCGGAAATCACTCGTCCTGCTGGAATTTATTCTCCTCCCAAACACAATACGCTGCACTTTATCAGAACTACTCCCGGCCCACCTGTTTCTTGCAGACCTCGCCGTCTCGATCCTGTTCGTATGCAGATTGCAAAGAAAGAGTACGAGGACATGGTAGCTAGCGGTGTGGCTAGACGGTCTGAAAGCGCTTGGTCATCAGCTCTACATCTGGTGAAGAAGAAGGACGATGGTTGGAGACCGTGTGGAGACTACAGAGCGCTTAATTCAAGAACAATTCCGGACCGATATCCAATCCGCCACATTCACGATTTTTCGTACCAGCTTGCGGGTTGTACCATCTTTTCTACGATCGACCTGGTCAAAGCGTACAATCAACTTCCTGTTAATCCTGACGATATTCCAAAAACCGCAATCACAACACCTTTCGGCCTGTACGAATTCCCGTTTATGACTTTTGGTTTGAGAAACGCTGCACAGACTTTTCAGCGATTTATGGATGAAGTCCTTTTAGGTCTAGATTTCTGCTATGGGTACCTTGATGACATTTTGGTGTTCTCCTCATCAGCAGAACTGCACAAAATCCACCTGCGTCAGCTTTTTGAGCGTCTGAAGCGTTATGGAGTTTTGGTGAACACCAAAAAGTGTACTTTTGGACAGGACAAGGTTACATTCCTCGGCTACACTGTGTCTGCTGCTNCTAAGGTGTCTCCCACATATCTTCTCATTATTTACGACAATTTAATTGTTGAGCTTTCCTTTCCCCCATTTTCTTGGAATCTTATTCTTAAACCATGCCCGAAACTTGATTCAGGGTCAAGCATTTCCTCAATTAGTAGACAGTAATCGGAAACACGCTTTAGTATTTTTTCTCATTATCTTTTTTTTTCTTTTTTTTTCTTTTTGACACTAAATCTTTGACCTTGATCTCATCTGACGGTAAAGGACGAATGTGCTGACATTTAAAATGTCAAAATGGAAACTAAACTCTGAAGAATTCCATTCCAGAACCTTCATGGCGGCGTAGCCAGTCCTAGCCTAGCCAGTTGGTATTAATCGGGACTACCAGACTGAAAAGTAGACAAATGTTTTGAATAAAGGTCAAGGGTTAGGGTATATCTATAAATTGCAAAATTTCAATCCCATTCCTCGTTGTGGATATAATAAAATATTGCGGAATTAAATGTGTTTACTCCTGGATAAGTACTTATAGAGCCCTGTGGGTGTGGGTATGTGGTGTCACAAGTATGAGAGACTATAAATCATTAGACAAACATTAAAAGGGCTCCGTCCTCCGCCAACAACATCTGGCCAAACATCGGACCGGACAACTTCAGTGGCGACCTCCGGGATTAACCGGTGAACCCCAACTTTATTATTGAAGCAAAAACTGAACCAGTCTGTAGGGAAGACCAAATAATTGTTGGGCGGGGCTCAACCGAATAGGATGCATAATTCAACAGCCTGTGAGGAAATTATCGCTAGAAAGAAAAGTCGGTTAATTCTGCTTGGAGATTTGGTTTATGTATTCAAGGTTTCGGCAATGTAAGAATCGCTGATGTCGAATAATTACTTGCTGATGAGAAAATGTAACAATGTAGCGGATGATCTAGCTCATCAACTACGTGAAAAGTCATTGCCTTACGTATACGTTTCAGTCACTGAACATTCGATTTGAAATAAGTACTTGCCTTTTGCAGTAGTTATAAAATAGAGTAACAGCTAGCAAATAAATAAAGCAGATAAATATTTCGACAACCCAGGACAGACTATCCTGGCGGCTCAGAACAAGGAGAGCCGACCCCAAATTATGGGAAAAAGGGCGTGGGCAAAGAAGAAGAAGAGTAACAGCTAGCAAGATATCCAGCGTATGCGAATATCGCCCGTATTCACAAACATTACTATGAGGTCTCACAGTTCGCGTGGGTGACACACGAGTCATGAACCAATCACAGAGCTCTATTGAACGCTGTGCATTCGATTTGCTGCTTCACATAAGTAAGCATCGTTTGTGAATACGGGCGTAAGACACGTGACATCTTCTGAAATATGGCAGCATATCATAGATAGAACGTTGCGCGTCATTCTAAGGAACATTTTGTTCCCCAAATAATCCGAAAATAGCTGTTACACTCGTAATCTCCGTTGCCATAATAAATCTATAAGTACACTCAAAGAAAGCCGCGAATAAAACAAGTAGTTAAAGAGGTTAAGTTGGCGGTTATTGTAAGAGGTAATCTTAAGATTGATCCAACTCCGAAACCCCCACTTGAAGTAAGAACTGCTGAGCAAAGTTCAGCTACTTTGTATTTATTGAGAATATGCATGGTTTTCAATTTGCAGTAAAGTTTCACATAAAAATCGAAGTACCCACAAGCCGTTTTTAGCGTATAGAATTATTCAGTTACCCTAAACATATAAATGAGAAGTCAGTTATTCGTCCATCGATATCGGAGCCGTAAACAGAAGGCGATCGTTTCATTAGCAAGTCAAACCTAACGCTATACAAAAGAGATGGAAGAAGTAGCCTCGTTCTTTCATCGTATTAAAATAGAATTTCAGCAACCAAGTACCGGATTAATGGAAGCTTTGAAGGTGGTTCTAGATTAGGTTTGCTATCAGGTTTAGTCTTGTATTTCGTACAAAAACTATGCTTATAACTCGATTTAAACCTTATCAAAAATAATTAATTAAGACTGAGAGTAGGGGCCCATGGGGTCCATCCAAGTGCACGTTCCTTTTATAAGGAACTAGCAAAAAGGCTCACCGAGGTGACTGGTGATCAAAAGGCTGGCAGTTATTTCGGTCAAAGAATAAGCCTGGCCATACAACGTGGCAATGCTTCCAGTCTTTTGGGCACCATTCCCGACTACGGCGCTATGGGTAAAATATTTTTTATTTTGTAAATATTTATTATAAGTAATTTTTAAAGTTTAGTTTCTAATTAATTAAGAGGCTTATTTATAACCTTGCGCTACCAGTGTGTCGTGCTTCAGTTTAAAGAAAATTTCAGTTTGCTCTTGAATTATAATAAGACCGAGGCTTACACAATTCCATT